CAAGCCGAGCGACCAAGTGGCACTCTCGAGCCGAAGTGGGAAGAGTTGGTGGAGCAGATGGAGCGGAAGGCGAGGTCTAGAGAAACGAACGAGCAAAGCTCACCCGACACACCAACTGTACCTGGTAGTAGCCATACGGTGAACAGCAGCACGTCAAGCCTCGCAGACAGCTACTTTCACCGGAATGCCGTTCCACGCAGCTCTCAAGGAGCTTCTAGGCTAGCATTTGTCTCCAGTTCGCCCCATTCTCCCAGATCCCCAGAGGATGAACCCCTTGACGAATTAGGCTCGGAGATGGACACACCTCCCGGTTCGTCCTCAAGCGTCTGGGATCCTGGCGTTGTCTCTGATTCGAACCTTCCCCCAAAGCCCTCGGAGATCGACGACATTGACGAAGAGGCGGAATTAGGCATATCTTCGACTGACATTGGCTCGAGCATCTACAGCCTGACCCCAACCTCTAAACGCACGAGCACAAGCGGTACCCCCAAGTCCATCCCACTCATCACACCAGCTTATGATAAAAGACATCCTGGGCCACGGAGCGCCTACAGTCTCCGCCGCTCCTCCGACAGGGCGGACATTTCGAAAATTGTTGGGCCAAGAGGTCCAGGGAGTGCTCACGGTTCGACAAAGAGTAGTCACAACGCGGCGCCTCTAGGCAGGAGTATCTATAGTCTCAATACATCTTCCACGAGTCAGCAGGCTATCGATCCTGTTGGGCCTCCCAAAAGTCCTGGTAGTAGAGATGGCAACATCTCGAGACTGAGATTGGATTTCGGGGGCGTCTTCAGGAAGAAAGGTAGAGATAGGGAGAGGGAGGAAGGGAGGAGTGATTGAGATGGAAGAGGTCGCCTGGGATCTCCAGCAACGGGCAAGAAGGAGTGTGGAATGAGCTGAGGATGATCATGCGTGCGGATGATTGAATGAATGTTACTGGATTTAGTTTGGATGCTAGCGAGCGAGTTGTGGCATACTGCGTGCATATGTAACGAGGTGTTATTGCATTGAGATGGGCCGTTGAAGCATCAATTTGAGACGACATGAGTCATAGTAGACACATATAATCCTCCTAAAATATAAAACTAACGAAAAATGTCGAAGGCAGATCATTTTTGGAATTCTCTTTCCTTTAGAAATTTCTTCGAGGTCTTGCTCTTGAGTCTGAGAATCTTTAGCTTCTCAATCCTCAAAGTGTAGGAAAGGGCTCTGTGGAGCGAGCTCTTGATGCGGCAACGAAACCACGACGCTCAACAAAGCTCGCTGTTCGGTGATTTGTGGATAATGGTGTCTAAACAACGTCAAAGCCGACATGTAATTCAAAAGGTACAGTTGTCCTGCTGCTTATTACTGTTTGCGCATGCTCAATCTTGCGTCCTTGTGAACCCTCAGGGTCCTCTGATTCGCGCCGCACCTGTTGCAAATCCATTGCTGAATGGTCTTGAGCCTTGTTCGGAACGCAGTGAGAGAGCGTATTATGTTCCGGGATGATCTCCTCGGGTTCTATGCTTCCGTTGCTTATGTCCTTTGCTGACAGTATTACCGGATGGTGCACCTCGGGAGGATCCCACATCCGCTGTACGGATACCTCGACCTTATAAACACTTTTGTTGGGGAACGATAGGATCGCCGGTTCCCAGGTCATTTTCGCTTCCCTGTGGGCCCCAGGGGGCGTTGCGTCATGGGTGACTTGGTAGATGTGGAACATGAGGCTAGCGAAGACGAGTCGACAAGGCGTGAAGAGCATGGTTCTACCCATGCGCAAATTCATCGAGTTGGCAGACGAGATTGTTTGGAGGGAGAATAAAGGTTTATGCAGTCACCACAGTGGAAGCCATTATCGCCAGATGCTCAAAGATCTTTCTTTCAAGCATCAGAGATTGGTATCAGAGCAAGGCGGCTATCGATGAGTGAAAGGGCATCGCCAACTTGTCTGGAAGCGCTGTCGCGACATGCGACACTTCACAGCGCGTTGCATTCTTGCTAAGAATGGCTCCATGAGTGATATGCGGTATGCTGATTTCGGAAGCCCCCTCAGGAATGTGCATCTCTTATGATACTCCATCTCGTGTTGAGGTTACTGTTTTCGCTACCATTTTTGAAGCAACCAGCCGTGACTGCCTTGTTATTGGGGGTTTCTTGAGTATGTCCCGGGTGCGATTTTGGGGCTTTGGCCTAGGTTGGAGGGCACTCTTGGATTTATTATTACTTTACATCTATGCTCGGTTATCAGCATGTTAGGCTCGAACGCTAGGCCTGATGCTCATATTAAAGTCCAGTCTTAGGACAGTGAGCCATGACTGCTGAGTACCCCTTTTCCTCTGATGGTATCTTGGGCTCGGAATTTGGGGCCCGTGACCCATGTCGGACTCCAGTCTTCGAAGAATGAGCCATAATTGCTTTGCACCTCTTCTCGTATTTGGGAGTGTTGAGCTGGACATCTGACTCTGATACCCCTATTGGACTCTACTCTCAGGGTGTCTGAACCAAGTAAACAACACGAATGAGCTCCCAGAGCATCCTGCTTGTCATCTTCCCGTGCGCACGAGGATAAGCTAGTCTTCGACTTGCTTCCGAATGCTTGCAGTTGGCCCATTCGACAAGCATAAAGTCGGAGAGCTCTGATTTTACACATAGCCAAACACGTAGCCTCGCAGATATGCATAAATTGCGATTCCAGACAGGATGATGTATGGACGTCAACCACTAACAAAGAACAGAGTACTGAGCACAGCTCAATCCAACTCATCCGACACACCCCGGTCCAGCTGCAGGCTCCGTCAACAATCATGAAGGGTATATGCGTTTTGGCAACAACACATTTGTATACTACACACCGGCAGCGTTAACTTTGACTTAGGACTGCAAAATACGGATAGACCTATTTCTTCCGGACAAAAGCTTTCTCGAGTACGGATGTAGAAGGAACGAGCCGGCTCCACGGACGGGACAGGGAATCGAGTGGGGACTGAAGGTGGATTCGACCCAGGGAATCGCACATCTGTTCCTATACGGATGGAGTGGACGAAGTATAGAGCGGAGGACGACCAGAACCGAACCATATGAGATGCGTCAACGAACTCATCGCTCTGCTCCCTTGTCAGCTATATGCACCTAAGGGTCTGCAAGGAGTTCACTTGATGTCTCAGTTCTGTAGATGCTACACCGCTTCCTTGGCGCACCTTTCTCAAACTTGCAGCGCCTAATTTGCCGACTCGTTGGAGACCTTTGACTTCGACGCTACCATAGAAATCTTTGCTTCCCGACTGTTAGACTCTTGCTAACGTGCAAATGTGTAAGCTAGGGGCCCGTACCTTAGTGAGCCGTTGCTTAAAAGGATGGACATTGCTCCCTCTTTCAAATCGAGACTACTTGCTTCAGCAGATTAACAGTCCGACCGACATCACGCTGAAATGGTAGCTGGATGGATTAGTTTGAGACATGACCCATTGAGGCATCACGTGCCTATCCAAGAGCACTGGAAGCACGGCTTATCCGCCAAATGGTCGTGTGTATGTCTCCTCCTTTGAAACATTCACTGCCATATCTGTCTGCTGTGTTTGCCCATGATATCTGCATGGCTAAGCCAAAGTAAAGGAGGTGTACTTTGGCTGCTGGACGTGGTTGTCTCCTTGTGCAAAGACGCCTGCATGCTTGCATGTCAGGAGTCCGGATTTCTTGAGCAGGGCAAAACCCGCAGGTCACGCAGTTGAGATAACATGGGACTTGCAATGTCTTCGAGCCCTAGTCTAGGTATAGATCATTCGTTAAGCAGCCCTGGCTGACTCGGAAACAGTGAGGAGTCTGTCAATCGCACTCTTCCAATTTTCCGGGCAAGCGGGTACGCGTCGGGCTAGATGAGGGGCAGTCGGCGTCGAAGGCCTTGGGCGGCGCCGCGCTCTGGGTGAGCACAACAGAACATCCATGGTGGAAGGGCTAATCACTGCCGAAGACTTCATGAAGAGATCTATTCAATCGAGCAACAGCCGAGCTGATTAACGGGGAGTCTGTCGAAGTGCATGTGAAGTCCTGCGGCTTACCTAGGCTCTGGGTATCTTCCATGAGTGGATAAGGGACTGCATGTAGCCATCAGGCACCCAATGAAGTTACCCAGGGTTCAAAGATGCGCGACATTTCTGACATGTCATTTGAGCTGTCGAGTGCAGTTGCAGTGGGGGTTGTTAAATCATGCTTTAACCAAAAGAAAAATAAATTCTGTCCGACGAGATCAGCGAGTCACTTCGAGTTGTAAGACATGGAAGCAACCGTTCTGGAAAATCTAGAAGCCTTCCAAGGTCCGAGTCGACTATGCACGATATCGATGGCTTCAAGGGTACCCTAGACTCCCAATAAGCTTCCAAGGTAGCTACTATGGCTAGGCTGTCCATGGGGACGCATTGGTCCTTCCGGCGTCGAGATTTCCCACCCACGAACCTTACAGGCGTTCAAAGCTCTCCTGCAATCTTGGGATCGTTGAGTTCTATGCTCCAGTCCGCTTTGCATCAATTCAAAGTCAACAGTCTTCTCCAGATGACTACTTGATTGTGGCGGAGAGTCAAAGCTATCAAAGATGAGCTGGGAAGGGCGAAGCCTGGAGTGGGGTCGGCAAGCCCCGCCTAGGTTGTCACAACCTGCATCTTTCTACAAGGCTGCATTCGAGTGCACCCTTTCCGTACTCAATCTTGCATGGCATGCTTTTTGGTTGTTCTTGGTGCTCCTCGTCTTGTCTTCTCTGCACGATAAATCGTCTTCTAAGTCCTCCGATCAAGGGAAAGAGCTCTGTACAGTGGGCTCTGGATACGGCACCTACACAAATGAGCTCAAGCGTCGACGGTGAGAACCCTGACTGTGAGATAAACTGTAGCTAATGGTGTCTACATAGTGTCCATGCCCTGCAAGATGATCACTATACATACTTGATAGTCAACAACCTACATGTACATATCACCGTGCGCACCTACGACCGGATCTTCTTCCTCCCTCATGGTCCCGTGTAGACGATGAGCTATGGGTCGAGTCCCAGTTGGGAGGGAGAAAAGGTTGACGCATCCAGTTTCCAGCCATTTGACCGCACTGTCTCGGTCATGCGGGATTTCCTTGAGTATGAAGTCGATTTCAAGTGGTCGGCAAATATGGGGGAGTGCTCAGGAAACCATTGTGACATCAGTGGGGATAAGATACCACTTAAATGGGGAAAAATCATTTCGGACAAAACGAATGCGTCAATCGATATGTATGAGGCAGGTCCTGACATCAGCTTTAAGAAGCCTTTCGTGGTGAAGACAATACGAGAAAGAGACTCTCAGAAGGCCAGGGAAATGACTGCCACCGAGGTCAAGAACATGAAAGATCTTCGTCACCCGCATGTCACCGCTCTACTGGGCACATTCACTTATCAGGCGAGATTGAGCATATTAATCTTTCCGGCTGCATGCTGCGATCTTCACCAATTTATGAAACGAATGTCCAGAGGCTTTGAGAAAGATTGGGTGGCCTCCCATTTAGACGGTAGCAGTACTGTTGATAGCGAGACCGTAAATTCTAGGCGTCTCCTGGATACGAACGTCAGTTCTTCGAGCGAACACAAAGAAAATGATCCTCAAGAGGTCCACAGCGAACCTTGGCCTCTAAACATACCTGTCGCGAAAAAAATCGAATTGCTACGCGGCTACTTCGTTTGTCTTTCGCAAGCATTGGGTTATCTACATGGCTCGGGTGTTCGACATAAGGACATCAAACCGGAGAACATCCTTATTGACGAATCAGGATCTGTCATTCTGACTGATTTCGGCATATCCCGACGTTTCCCCAAACACACTCCGCACGCTACGAACAATGAACGGAAGTTTACAAGAAAGTACGCTTCTCCAGAAATCATGAAGGATAAAGACACCCTCAGGGATGATCCTTCCGATGTCTTCTCACTGGGATGTGTCTTCCTCGAAATGGCAACCCTGCTGCACGACAAAAATCTCAACAATCTCTCGGACTACTATGCTACCATAGTCAACGACTCTGTCAAGGAGGAAGCATACCACTACAACCTAGGTAGCGTCCATTCTTGGATAGATTATCTGAGGATCTCGCGTGGATTTAAGCCCGTGCAAGAGCACTGGCTACTAGGAGAGATGAACAAAGTCCAGACTTTTGACCCTAGTCCAGAGAATCACATGACAGCGGCGTTGGCCGATATTCGACAAATGCTAGACGAGACTCCTTCGAACCGCCCAGTATCCAACGGACTGTGGCAACGATTCCAACACATTAGCGCAACGAGATGTAGAGACTGCGATCCAAGACGACCAGGAGACATATGGAAGCCATCCGCTAGGCAACAAAGAGACGCCCAGACCGGCTTCAACAGGCGCCGGTCCTTACACGCAATAGAAGAAAGATATCCCTTGAGCAAAGAGTTATCGGTATCTGGGGACATTGATAGCACGACGCTCTCGCCTCAACTCATCTCTCAAAGATCTCTACGGAAACCACGGCAAGGATCATCCCCGAGCATCGACCTGCAGAAATACGGCAGACATGGCCACATCAAGACGAGATCAGAGCCGGAATCACCGATGTTGCAATTGCGTGTGGATACTCAAGAGGACAGAGCTAAAGCTGCAAGCTCTCCATCGCCTAGATTGCGTGTGGTTCAAAAAGAGGGCTTAGTCCCTAAGGAGATCAGCCCTGAACTCGCTCAAGCATCAGCGCATATTTCGCCAGCAGATGTCAACCACGAAACTTCTATAGACATTGGACGCCAAATCTCCGATAACGTAGAACCTACTCCGTCTCTTCCAAAGCCGCAAGCTACAAAGCTTGACTTGTCCAAACCACTAGCCTTTCCACAAGACCAGCAGTCACGAGCACCCAACCAAAGACGAGCCACTGGAGTTGAGGCTCCGGTCTCGGAGCCCAAAGAGTACACTCCACTCCCACAGACACGGATAATAGTCTATGATGTATCTCAGACAATAGCATTCGAGACGGTCTTTGCTTCTCTGAAAGGTGCGTACGTTTTACGTTCCCAGAGGCTCTTGCTGTAGATCAGTCCTAACATCGCCCTAGACCAAGATCCCAAAAGATACCCTCTGCCTAGATTCCGACAAAGAGTCGAGATCGGAGACAAGGCAGATCTGATTGCGAAAGTAGATCTCAGACAACTGAAGTTGGGAACAAAGATGCGTCGTTGGATGGGAAGCTTTGCCTGGATATATGTCCTCAATAATGCCGCGCAGCCACTACAGACAGCAAGCAAACTAAGCCCATGATTTTGATCCAAAGGTCAAAGCTCTAGAGATCGCGAGTTCCCCTTTGATGGAACACTGATCATCGACTTCCTGGTCTAGAGCTTTCCAAGCTCGCAGGCTGCCATAGAGGACAAATGGTGTAGCTGCTAATGGCAGATGGGGTGATTCATAACGATGCTTGGGGCAGCTCCCCATCGTGGGAGGGCGAGCAGACTCAGCCGAGTTGGTGAAACCGTTCTACCAGCCTGCATCCAATGTCATGAACCTCCTCCGACCTCTTGAGGCTAGGTTTTAGTGCCCATCAGGCAAGCTAGAAAAGTTGCAGTCTAAGACACTGGAAAATCGTTATTTGCACGTCGGTTTTGGGCAACGGCCCGGGAAAATTTCTGCTGTCTAGGTTCTTGATTGCGTCGGGAAGAAGGCCAGTCATCGAAAAAGGTTGCTCACCAATGCTAACTTGTCGATGTTTAGGAAAACGTACCGCTTCACTGTCATTATTTCTGGCACCTTGCCCGGGTTTCGTATTGCTAGAGTTGCAACGCTCGAGGCTAAATTTTTTAATGGCCTACCTCACTGGGATCGATTGTATCTAAGGAAGAAGGCTCCCCTGGGCGAAGCCGCAAGTTCAAGCCAATTCAGTGGAAATGAATAGCCTCTCGTGGTGTGTATCCTCCTGGACTAAACGCTCTGAGATGGAGCCTGTCGCTGTGATCGATAGCTCCTCTGGGAATAAACGTTGCTGTTCCTACGACTGCTGCTCCCAAGAGCTGAATGTTGAGCCTCGACGGACCGTCCTCTCATGAGTGAAAGTCTCCTGAAATGCAAGAGCTGCGGGAGGTCAGCCCAATTTCGGAATGCCTCTCCCCAGACCCTGCCTCATATGAAGCATTAGACGAGCATCTGCGTCAGACATTGGGCTCCCTATTCGCTATTAGTCCTCCCTCGATCAAGCAGCTTCTGGATATGTTGGTAATGGTCAGCGTCTGGAGGAGCCTGGTTGTGCTTTGTTCGCAGATGGTCCATCAGATCATTGCGGGTGTCGAACTTAGCCTTTGGCATCGGGCAGTCATCAGCCAGTGGGCATCTGTACCGAGTTCCTGTTGCAAAGCGCTCCCATCGCATTGTCTGTGCTCTTTGCGCCCGTTGATCGACCAAATACGCTGCACACCGTTGGATCAAAGCTTCGACGCCCTCCTGTTTCAGGTAACTCTTGGTTGCCATTTCGATCTTTTGGAGCGTGATTTCGCCGCCCGGTTTCGGCCTCCACTCATCCATGCGGACAGCTTGGAGTCCTTCCTTCACATCAAATCGAAAGTAATCAAATCCCTGAGTCTTACTTTCGAACATCACCTTATCATGTACTACGTCAGATATGTCGGTCAGCTCTTGTAGCAACGAATCCGTACCAAACCTAAGCCTGGGGTTGTTGCCTTTGGCGTTGCCACCGCCAATACTCAACAGGAGATCGATGGCATCGTGAGACTCTTCTGCGAGCAAGCTGACTTCCCTCACAACCTCCCAACTCGGATTATTCAAGCTTGTCGCGGCATCGTAATACCGTGCCTCAAACATATGTATAGACTTGAAGTAGGATGGAGCGGCTGAAGTTGCTCGGGCGACCTGCCAGATGGCAAAAGTGTTTGGGTCACCTGGATTTCTCTCGAATGGCGCACGCGAGGTATACGAAGTCTTACGATCATATGAGCGGAAAAGAAAAGGGGTCTGGAAACTCTTGTCTTCGTTGCTTTTCATCGAACACACTATGGTTCTGCACCTGGCGCGGTCTGACTTGAATTGATTGGCTTGCTCCTGAGGGCTCGGCAGCCTCGTAGGAGGCAATGAGTCGAATTGATCCTTTAGATTGTCCCTCCTCGCGGTACTGTCATAGTTCGTCAAGAATCTTTTCCACGGCGAAGACGGTTTCTCGAATACTTTGGCGGAAAGCTTTTTATATTCTTCGATCGCCTCGTCCACACTCATCCGCAGTCTTCCCAGCAGTATCGCAATCAGTCCGCCGGTACTCGTCCCTGACACATAATCAAAGTAGTGACACGGAAGGTACCCAAAGAGTGATCTAGAACCGTCCGCCTGTGGGGTGCCTCCTTCGTTCGGCAAGCAATTCACGAGGGGAGAGTATGCGCTCGATTTTGCAACTGGGTTCATCCGGCGCTCATGTTTCCCTATTGCTCTCATGAGCTCTCGCAGTATCAACAGCGAGGAAAAATTCCTGACACCCCCTCCGTCTAGACTCAGTATGGATTTTTTTGCCCAAGGATCATCTGTATCGAGGGTATATATGGAGGGTTCCGCCGAGGGCTCGCCACGATCGGGGTAACGTTGATTTGGATCAACATCTTCGGGAACAGGGGGACAGGGTTGAACAGCGTAGGGTCTCAGTTTTCGGGTGTGGACGAATTGTATAGGAGTGGACCACTGCACGCTCTTACTGCCATCCGCTTGTTTCAATGCTGTCGAAGTCATTGAGGACAGACTGCGGATCTGGACACGGAGAACAAACGACCCGTTAATCTCCAGGTGCTTCGGGACAATGCAGATCTTTTGAGCCAACAGGTTGCAGCCTGGGTATTGGTATGAGAGTCAGCTGTCTTGACGGTATATAGCCCATGTGATGAAGCAAAGCGAGGCAGACATGAATGCTCTTAGAATAGTCAGCCTACTGCAGAAACGCTAGGCCTTCCCATGACAGCATCCTATGGACAACCAATTCCAGCACGGCTCCGAGGGAGGCGCCAGCTGCGTTGGTACTTCGGTCGATGACATGAGGGTGAGGAGGGTCGGAAAGAACAGCGTAACCAATCACGAGGCTACGTTCCGTGAAATAGGGCTGAAGTGGAAAACTGGCCAATCCCAACAGCGGAACCTGCATTTGAAGAGTCTTTAGCGAAGGGGATCTACTTAGCCACATCAACTAGGACGTGATGATACATGCCATTTACGACAGCGCCCGCTTATCTTACAACGTCGAATGGCGAGGCTCCAGCAGCCTCGCCCTAAGCAACGACAAACAAGGCGGATTGCATGCTTTTTAGCGAGTGCCTGGTTGACAAGTTTTTTTGAAATACCTAGGGCGATTGCCTAAGCGAAGCCTTTGGGTACGTAAGGTTCTACGCTTTCGGGCTCTGCCGCTCTAGTGAGGGTCGCTCTTTTCGAGTTCCGGAACAGTTTCATGACGAGGGTTCCAACCAACACTTCAAGAAACACACTTCTGCCGCAGCGACACAGCAGGTCAGCAGCAGAACGACCCTGTTTTGCAAGGATCTACATCTTGTATTTCGGGAACGCTTACCAGCCGACGCAATAGGCATCTGTGAAAGTAGAGTACCGGTAGAGCTGCTTATTTTAAAGCGAGAAGGGTGGGGGCCCGACGCCAATAGGCTTACTAGGGCTACTTCTGCAACGACATATTTCCGAAATATTGCCCACATATTTTCGTCTTACCGTACTATATCTGTACGGTTTCGTTCGGTAACTTGCCAGGCCACTTTTCATACCGAATTAATTGACTCATAAGGTCGCAGTTTGATATGGTCTCGATGGTTTTTTCCATTACTATAATTATATTTTATATGCAAAATAGTCTTATATATTAATAGAACTTTATATTAATCGCCGCTAGTTACTAAGTTTAAAAACTAGAAATAGATAGCGTATTACTTATTAAACTAGTACGCGTAGTAACGTATTTCTTAGATATCTTCTTTATCTCTCTAATTATCTTAATATCTATTTAATTTAATACTTCTATTACTTTTATTACTTCTATTATTACTATTTATTATTCTTATTCTTAAATCTTATTTAAAATAATATATAGTCTTTTCGTTATAGTTTATATAGTAGATTAACTTAATATTTATAAAATAATAATATTATTTAAAACTACGCGCTAAGCTTAATTATCGAGTAAAATAATAGAAGTTAAAGAGAGTACTTAATTAGCTATATAGATAACTAAGAGTCTCTTCGATAATCATATATTTTTAAAATATACTTATAAACTTTCAAATTAGCGTATTATATATATACGATTTTATTTATTATATTAATATTAAAATTAATATAGAAATATAACTTATATAAGTAAGATAGATAGAATAATAAGACTATTAAATTATATATATAGAAAGAAGATATAATATAATAGAAGATATCTTCGTTAAGATATTAGACTATAGAGTTAAGTAATATATTAAGAATACGTTTATAATAATACTTCTCTCTCTTAATAGCTATAGTCTCTATAATTAATAGATCGAAGATATATATCTATAAATTATCTTATTTTTTTAAATATTTATAATTTCTTTAAATCTTAATTAAAGAGAATTAAGATTTTAAAGATATAAACTATATCTTACTTATATGTAAATAAGAATCTTTAAGCTCTTCTTTAACTTTCTTACTATTATCTTTTAAAAAAATTACGTATATATTATAACTTAGTTACTTACTAAAAACTAATTAAAAATAAGAACTTTTAATATACTATATTAGATTAAATTAATACTATTCTTCGACGGCGACGACGATAATAATATCGCGTCTTAAAGATTTCGCTAGTATATCGTTAATAGAACTTTATTAAAGTATTAAAGACTCTCGATTTAACGAAGATCTATAAAGAATTAAATAGATAGTTATTAAAAACGTAGTCTAGTATTAAATAGCTATTTAATACTTATTTTTATAATCGTAAGAGAATTTATAAAATAATAAGATTTAGTTAATTAATTACTTTCGAGCTAAATAGAGTCGTAAGCGCTAAAAACTTTAAATTAATATTATATAATTTTGATATAAGTTTCTTTATAGAGTATTAAATAGTCGATATCTATTAAGATTATTAACGGCGGTAGTAAAGTTTATAGATAACGTATTATAACTTTAAAAGATCTTTAAATATATTATTACGAGTATATTTTATATTCTTAATATATTACTTAGCTCTCTTATCTATTTAAATCTAGCGTATCTTAATAGAAATATTTATCTACTATTTAATATCTTTCTTCTATCTATATAATTTAATTATCTTAATTAATATATTTATATTTATATTAGTTTATATTAATTCTAATACTATAACTAAAATTAACTTACTTATTTTATTTATATTAGCGAATAAATTTAAAGAAACGCGTTAATAGAGACTTTAATAAGAAATTAAATTAAGTTATTATATTTCTAGATAAGTTTATTAAATAGATAAATCGATTTTAAAGAGTTTAAATAGAATAGCGAAACGATTTTAATAAATAGTAGTTAAGAAATAAAGAAGATATTAGATTATTTATATAATTAGCGAATCGAAAGATATAGCTAATATTATCTTATATTTCTATATTTAAAATATATATTAATAATATTATTATAACTTTATTTATTATAATATCTAAGATTTAAACGAAGTTTTAATTAGATAAGAAATAGTCGAGCTATAATTATTTAAAGATATTATTCTTCGCGATTAATTATTAAACTTTCTTATATAAACTTTTTAACGAGATAAGAGACTCTCTAAGCGAAGTAAATATACTTAAAAGATTATTATTTAAAGTACTTATAGTCTTCTTAATATCTTAAATAATTAAGAAATAAATATATTAAACTCTCGTAAAGAAATAACCTTATCTTAAACTTTATAGTAAAAATCTTTTTTTCTTAATATTAAATACTTTTAATATTATTATTCTTTAATTAGTCTAATATCTCTAATATCTATTCTTTTAAAATATTTAAACTTCTCTTTATTCTCTTTTAAACTTTTTTTCTCTTTTTTATAATAAAGTCTAATATCGAAAAAAATAAATTAAATTAAAACTTTACTAAATTTAATTAAGTCTTAATAAATATTAATTCTATTAAATTGTATTTCTAATAAAATAGACTCGATAAATATATTTTAAAATATTATTAATAGTTTTTAATTATAATATTAAGTTACGAGTAAGCCTATAAATTAAATTTATAATCTATTTTTTTAATTATAACTATCGAGTAAATTTAATAAGCGATCTTTAATAAGCGATCTTTAATAAGCGATCTTTAATAAGTAATATTTGAATTCCTTGCCTTTAAAGAATAATAAGATCAAATTTTATAATTTTTTTATATTCGAAAAGCGTAATTTGCGATCTATAATTTGAAAAAAAAAAATTAAATTTTAATAGAAGATAGTAAAATAATTAAATAATTAAATAAGAGAAAGATATTTTTATAATTACGAATATTAATTTATTTATCCGCGATATCTAATTAAAAAGCGTAGCGAACTCGAATTTATAATTAATTATATATATAAATTTAAGATTTTTTAACTTAGATCTATCTTATTCTATTATATATATTAATTAATTAACTTAATAAATTTATATTTATATTAAATAAAATTTATTAGAAATAAAATAATCTTTAAAAGATTATTATTTAATACGAGTAAAGGTCTATAAATTAAATTTATAGTTACTTTTTTAATTAGAGCTATCGAGTAAATAGATAAACGATATTTAAATTCCTTACGCTTTAATAATAATAAGACTATATTTAAGAATTATATTTTTATTTAAAAGTCTATATTTCGTTCTATAATTTAAAAAAAAATCTTAAAATTTTAATAGAAAATAAAAAGGTTATTCTAAAATTAAATAATGTATATCTATTTTTTAATTAGAGCTATTCGGCTATCGAGCGAACTCTAATAAGCGATATTTGAATTTCTTACGCTTTAATAATTATAAGATTAAATTTAAATACTCTTTTTTTATCTAAAAGCTTATATTTTATTCTATAATTTAAAAAAAAATTAAAATTTTAATAGAAAATAAAAAAGTTATTCTATATATTAATAATATATATTTCTTTCTTTAATAAGAAAGCTTAAGAGGGCTAGCGAGCTAATTTAGATAGTCTAATTTGAAGACGTAATAATCTTAAATTTTTAATTAATTATATATATAAATTTATAATCTTTAAGCTTAGCTTTATTTTATTCTTTTATATATATTAATTATATTCTTATAATAGAAAAGAATTAAATTATAAATAATTTATTAATATATATAAAAGAATAAGATAGAATTAAGTTAAAAAATTTTAAATTTATATATATAACTAATTATAAATTTAAGTTCGCTACGCTTTTTAATTAGATATTATAAATAAATAAATTAGCGTTTATAACTATTAAAATCTCTTATTCTACTTTTAATTCTTTAATAACTTTATTATTTTCTATTAAAATTTCAATTTTTTTTTAAATTATAGAGTATAAATTATACGTCTTAATGATTTAAAAATTTAAAAATTTAATCTTATAATTATTAAACGATAAAGAGTTTAAATATTACTTATTAAAGTTCGCACGATAGCCTTAATCGAATTATCGAAAAAATAAGTATATTATTTAAATTTAAAATAGCTTTTTTATCTTCTATTAAAATCTTTTAATTTTTTTTCAATTA